GACACAAAGAAGTCTTTAACACAGAGTACACACAGAAGCTTTTACACAAAACAACGTTACCACAGAGGAGCTTTTACACACAGAATCTGATACGCAAAGAAACTTTCACCAACAGAAACTTTTGCACACAGAGGGCATTTTGCACAGAAGCTTTTACACACAGAAGCTTTTACACAAAAATCGTTTACACAGAGAAGTTTTTACCCACAGAAGCCTTTACATACAGAAGCTTTTACGCAAAGAAACTTTTACACACAGAAGCTTTTACACACAGAAGATTTTTCACAAAAAAAACCTTTACACACAGGAATCTTTACACAAAGAAACTTGTACGCACAAACGCGTTTACACACAGTAGCTCTTACGCATAGAAGCTTTGTACAAAGAAGTCTTTTCCCATCTTTCTCATCATTTCTCATTTTCCTGATCGATCACCATCTGTCATCTTCACATCTTCGTTTTCAGGCTCTTTTGGTCAACTCTCTCCCTCGTTTAGTTTTCATTTCGCACGGTGTTCTGTCCATCCACGCTTCGTCCTCGCTCCCCCTGCGGCGAAGCAAACTAAACGAGAACCCAGGAATACATTGCGACTAGAAAGATGGTATAGAGTATGATAGAGTTAATTACCTTGCAGAAATAGCGGCTAGAAGAATGTAAACGTAGCTGACACAGCATGCTGTGGTGAATTGTGGCCCCTGATACCATCAGTGCGCACGATGTTTCGGTAAAGATCTTACGTCGATTTCGTGCAGAGCGCGGCTGCCCACACCACAACTTTTTTAAAAAAAGGCGTGCTGCGTGCCGTCTTTGCTTTTGGGTTCTCGGGCCCACCTTTTTTTTTTCAATTCATGAGCTTTTTTGTGCCAACTTTAATGTCAACTTTATGTCAGCTTTAAACGTACCTGTGCTAGCAGAATTTTTCATAACTTTTGGCAAGGTGCAAGAACCCCTTGCGCCTGTCACTGCCACGCACAACAACTTCCAGAAGTGGCCCGAGACCGTCAATCTTTAACACTTTTGACATCGAAATGTGCTTCGCGCCACAACGCCGAGCACTTTGTCAACATCTCAACTTCCAAAAGTGCTCTGAAGCTGGTGTGCTTTGCGCGTTTTGACTTGGAGATGTGCTTCGTGCCACAGCTCAGTGCACTTTTTCATCTCAACTTCCATTGATGCTCCGTCGCGTCACAACGGCGTGCACTTTCTCGACATCTCAACTTCCAAAAGTGCTCCGACCATGGTGTGTTTTGTGCACGTTCACTTCGAAATGTGCTTCGCGCCGCAACGGTGCGAAATTGTTCATCTCTCATCTCCCCAGATGGCTCCGCACCCGCCGCTTTAGCGAGCCTACTTTTCGACCCTCTGGAGCCACAAACATGGGAATAATATATTGTTTCGCGACTTTTCTACCTTTTCGCCCACCGGCATCGTCTTTCTTCTGACTCTTTCTCTTCTCTGATCTTCTTTCTTCTTCTCTTCGCTTCTCTGATTCTTCCCACCTCTGCTTTTCATCTGTCCATATTGTCGAAAGTTTGGCTTCAAAACTTCTTTTGTTTGATTACTTTTTTCATCATTTTGACTGTATGGCAGAGTGCCGATGTGAATTATTTTCCGGTTCAGATCAAGTAGCCGGCTGCCTTAATTGGGGGTCAAATCATTCAAGCACTTCAACCCGATCTGCATTCAGCAACGGCCGATCATGAATCATTATAAATCCATCTAGTCGCTTCTCAGCTCTTGCCACCCGAGCTACGCCAATTGCCATTCCAGTTGTTCCAAAAAGGAATTTAGCTGCTGCACCTGGCTGGCAAGAGTCTTGCAAAAAGATGCATGCTAGAAAGCGAGCTGCCAAAGCTTGGACATCTGTGGCCGGCACTATTTGCTTCTTCCTTGGGACCTTATGTCAGCTGAGTCTTAAATCTTTTCATTCCATCTGGACAATGCGAACAAAGTGATCCCATGCACAGCTGCCAGCCAAGAAACTTGGTACCGGTGGATATGGATCTATTTTCTCGATGTGCTCAGGAGGCCCAGTAACTGGTGCCTCTGGTAAAACGTTTTCCTGCAGAGGCGGTGGTGCCAACACCGAACGAGGCCCTTCCTCTGTCTGTTGATACACATCTCCGAGCTGCAAACTACAGAGCGCTTCTGCGGCGGAGAGCCGGCTTTCCACCGTTGGCCCTGGACAAAGGCTGAAGCATGGCTGAAGCAAACCATGGCATTTAAGAATGGCAATCCCAACCATAGCAATCAGAAGCGCTGGCAAGATTTAGGAATAAACCCTGGGATCGGCCGGCTGAGAATGCCACTGGCTCCCCATGCCATCCTTTTTCCGCACCTTTTGTCCCTGTCAGGCAACAAGTCAAAATGCCAATGGTAAGAAATCAGGAAAAACATCTGGATGGCTTGAGTTAAACTTCCATCGCTCTGATGCTTGCACTTGCTTGGGCAAGCCTGTCACTGTCGATGGGAACGGGGGTCCTGAATGGAGCCAGGTTCCAAATATTTTGCAAAAATGAAGACAAAGCAACAGGCAAGAGTAAATCTAAACGAACTGCTGGACACACGCATGATCAACAAAGCTGCCCATTCATCTCTACAGCTGCTACCAGCTGCTTGTCAAATCACTTCAACTAGTGCTGTTGTGCAAGACAGGGATCCACTTATAATATATTGAATTAGAGCAAGCTGCTGATGGTTGCGCAAGGTTTCAAAAACCTGAACAAAATCGGAACCATACACACGTTGAAGTTGACACTTATTTCGTCTTCATTGTGCAAAGGTGCCATGCTTACCAGAAAGAAACTCAACCTGAAACACCTTTTATTGGGTATGAATGCTCAAAAAATTGCAGGAGGTTATTCCTGATACACACACGCACCAAACAACTCATCAAAATTGGAGCCCCCAAACGAGACTACGCGCACCGAAATTGACACCAGTTCCATAACCAGAACATTGGTTTGGCGCAAACAGCATTGACGCCATGCTGAAGTCCTTGTCCCGCAGCCCCTTGGAGTTTCTAGACTGAGCTAGAACAGGCCAAGATTCATCAGCTTTCATTCTTGGGCTAAGTGATCAAGATTCAACAGCTAAGATGCTTGCCGTAGGCTGCTCGAGCCACTCCAACAGCTCCGGCATAGCCAGCAGGTGCGGCCGCACCGCTGCTATAGCCTCCGCCATAGCCACTGCCACTACCTCCATAGCCATAGCCATAGCCATAGCCACCAGCCTCCAGCTCCAAGGTGATCAGCATCACGTTTGGGACAAATATCATCGCCATGAGATGCAATTTGAATGGAATTTCACAATGTTTGAATGAATATGGCATCACTTGGGTCTGAACTGCTTGTCGCCTCAGTTTTCAAGCACTGGTATATCTGCACTTGCCGTGCCATCTTGTGAAAACCTACCCTACTCATTTCACACGGTGTGCACCCAGGTGTCCATAGCATCCTCCCTTCTGAGGCGCAGCGTATTTTGGGGCGGAGGATCTGGGAAATCACCAGGTGTCAAATCTGGATTGCCTGCAGCGCTTGCTGAAAACTCATGGCTTTCCAGTCCGCGATTGCCATAGACACTACTAGGTACCAAAGTCCGAGCCCAAGACCCCAGTAGCAATGTCTGTTCTTGTCTCCCTGGATGTTTTTGAGGTAGCCTTCATCAAAGACAAGCGTTGCACGTGAACTGTTCTGAATGCCAAACCAGTGTTGTCCCACGTTGTCCCTTTAGCCCTGTCCTAATGACTATGTCAAGCACTCTCACAAATGAGATGTGCGGGATGGACATCAGCAAACTCCCAAATCAATTTATGCAGAGAGCATTTTCTGCTGAATGTGCGCGCTTTGATATGGGTCAGGGAAGCTGTTCAAATTCTTCACCATCTGACCTTGAGTCATGTTTCCACAAGAGCCCTCAGGAAGTCCGGCAGTAGCACCGTCCAGGGTGTCCAACTGCAGCGGGCCATCCAGTGGAACAGCAAAGCTGGACGCAAAACTGAGCATTGTATGAGCATCGTCAACCACAAAGTCTCTTATTTTGCTTTATTTTGGAGGCTCCAAGGAAAACATATTTAAATGGTAGTTCAGTGATGCTAACCACGTGGCATGGCTGTCGCAAAGCCATGCTGATGATAACAAATTTCCAAGACTATGCTAATTGTATGAAGCCTCTAGTGATGCAGAAGATGTGAGATCAGGTGTGATCATAGGCAATATATGGCAATATAAACATATCATCTGTACTACCGGTTTATGCCAAGAGAAGACAATGAATGACAACAGTGATGAAACCACAATGAGAATGACAGTGACGATGACTGCAAGGATGATGATGATGGTGGTGATGGTGATGATGATGATGATGATGGCAGCGAAGGCGATGATGATACCTTGTGACGACCACGTGCTGCCAATTTTTTCCCCTGCCTGCTGTTGTGCTGAGACCTTCGAACCCAGGACAGCTGCAACTGCAGCTGGCACCAATGCTCCGCCGGGGAGACCGCCCCTTCCAGCAGATGCATATGAAAACCTTGGAACATGTCAGCAGTGGACCCCACCAGTCCTTCAACACCCCTCAATGCCTTGAAATCTGAACGTTAATAAAGCAATTCCAGCCGACTTTGCACTAACACACTACCATTCAGCCCTGTGGAAGGTCCAACTCTAATGCATGCCTTTGGAAATTAGTGCCGGTGCCATATGGCAATCCATATGGTGTCGCGGTCAAACTGCACTGGGGCGGCTGCCAGGGATGTGCGCTACTTGCAAGATTGCCAGCCGAGTTGGGCCCGGTGTCCTTCCTTTCTGGCGCTTCAAGCGGGAAAAACATGGAATCTACTGCTATGGGATCTCTTTCTCAACCTGACTTTGGCGTTCACTGAGCACCCAACCCAAATAGAGCGCCCATGTTGGGCGTCAAGCGAATATGAGCATTCGGATAGAAAGACAATCAAAAATCAGAATCATCCAGCATTATATATTGAATGCAGCCGCATCACG